TAAACCAGGTAAAAGACGGAAGTCAGGAAGGTGCGAACTCCGTGTTTCGCAAGGTGACTGGGGAAGTGCTTTTGCGATGTATCCGTAATATGCAAACAATTTTGTTATGCCCGCCGTTTGAGTCTCTCCAGCAAAACGATTAAGATGATCTACAGAGCCGCAATCACAAGTCAAGATTTACGATAACGGTACACATTCAATTAAAACAACTTTAGGTAAGGTGGTTTGAAGACGAGAAAAATCTGTTTGCTAACGCAGAATTGGACGTCCGAAGTGCGGACGTCCGAATGCGGACAGCTGTTACGTAATAACCTGGCTGTGCCAAGTTTCTTTACGTAGCAGTCAACGTTACTAGAACCACTCAGTCTGAAAACTGCCATAGAGCCTGCTTTAAAAAAGTGGCTCCGATCCGTACTCGAGAACCGAGCTAATGCCGATCGCAACGCCGCCATTTCTCCCGCAGCATCCACTCTGGAAACTGCACGGCTGCCCGCCGAGTCGGGCAAGGGCCGGTGGCGCCATCTCGAAGTAGCTATGTAAAGCAACTTTCATGTTTGAACTCGTTGCTACTGGGCGGCGCTGTTATCGTATTTATCTCGGTCTCGGTGGACGCCAGCGGCCCAGGTTCCGTGGGGTAACTTTTCCAACTGAGGGTTTTAGTTACGTTGGTAACAGGTGTGTTTCAGTCGCGGATGTTCGGTGCACCCGGTGCGAATCTCGTAGGCCTCCGGAGCGAAATGACGAGAACATACCTGGACACGTTTGTCGCTACGCTAACGCCCGATTGCGACCAGCCAAATGGCATTCATCTTTAGGGGCGACATGGGTGCTGGAGGACTCGCTGAAGCGGTCACTCATCTGTAAGTTTAAAAAGCAACGGCGCCGCTTTACAGGAGCTGACATCTACAAAAAAGTGGCCATAACACGCGGAAAAAAAATCACGCTAAGAAAGCACAGGGGAAAACGAAAGGAACAAACCGCGCTGTGAAAACCAAAACCCCGCGTCGCTTCCTTTCACTGACACCTGCGACAGCCGCTAAACATACACTACTTTACTTCAGGAGGGTTTACTTCAATACCTGGGTCCGCACGAAGCACCGATCACTTCGGCGAAACGAATTGTCGAGGTACGCGAGACAGGCGGAAGCAGAAACTTCGGTGGCCGTGAAGGAATGGCTAAACTCCTGCTTTTTATGGTATGAAGCCAAACGGAAGTGCCCGTCTTGTAAACCTTTTGTAAAGAATAATAATTCTGATTACATGGGATATTCTTTAAACTTAAAAATATGCCGCTGAAAAAGAAATTACAACATTTCACAAAGGTTTAACAACCAAGCTCTAAGCTGTCTATCAAACTCTCAAAACAGTGAGAAGTATAGCAGCTCATGGGTACTCAACGTCACAAAATACCCACTTTGTCTCGTGCGATTTAAAACGGACGAAATAGCCGCAAACTAAAATCAGTCTCGCGCAAAGAATATTGCTGTAAATTTTTGTGTGAAAAACTTGTTTTGAGACATGCTTGTTCCAATTAAACTGTTTAAAAAAACTTTTTTTTTTTGCAGTTACCTTTTAACCTTTTGTATATGGCTTTCCCTCTTGGCTTTGTCTTTTGCTTCTTTTATTTTTTACCGCCTCTTTTTGGCTTCGTTACGGGGTAAGTGTTATCGCTTTCCAAAGGTTGACGTGTGAGGCGTTTCCCATGGGTCACGTTAGCGCTTTCCTTCATGATCCACCAATAGATATCCCTTCATTGTTTGTAACACAAACCACGGCATTAGTGGCTCCGCACACCTGCAAGTTCACACTCGACGCAGCATCCGCGCGCTCATTGATTTCCGCCGCGTGATGTCGCCTCCATCTCGCCTTTGTCCTTACTGGTCTTACCCTCAGATCGATAGGATTCGACCCGCAATTTTCACGCGCAATCGAAATTGTAAGTATGCTAAAATATATTCTTTCGGTTTCGCTAAAGCGCCAGCTCTAGAATGCTCTTGTTCATTCTCGTTTTGTCTATTGTATTTTCTTAATGGTATACATGCTCAAAGACCTGTGTATCTCAGTTACTTTAATTGCAAAATAGATCAGTGCGGTCAATTGCCAGTGTATTATATCGGAAACACTCCCACCCATATTTCATCAAATAATCACTTCTTAAAGCAGTACAATCCCTCACTTAGAAATTGGCAACTTAATGTTTGACAAAATTAAACTAGACCCTGAGATCGTGCGAGCAAATTACATCAGCAAGGCATCCACATACACCTTCCGTCAGGCGAGAGTACGCACCAACTATGGTAGACAAAAGGTTCTTAATCAAATCGCACGGTTATTAAATAACCATCCTGAAATACTGTCCTTGATTAATAGCTTTAATGCAATACACACATTTAAAACCACCTTAAAAAGTTTCCTTCTAAGTCTAACATAATCTATGTTGGCATTTTGCTGTGTTTCTCTTTTATTAGATCACATTTTGCATCTGTCATTCCGTCTTTGTGTAATGGTGTAATTGTTTTTGTTTCGTTTTTTCGGTGGCATATTTTGCTGCTGAACTGTACAGGGGGATGGTCCCTTGTCAGGCGACTCTATAGTCGGCTTTTGCCCTATCCTCCGAGACGTTTGTCTGTATAAAATATATTCGATTCAATTAAATGTGGTCACTAATGCTAACGCATTAAAAAAGTGCTGACGATAGTTCTTTAGTTGGTTTCCTTTTTAGGTAGTTCCTGTTTTGTGCGAAGAATTAGGGGGATAAAGAAGGAAGAAAGTGTTTGGACAAAAAGGGAACAGACTCTTATATTACGTGGAAGAAGTAAGTCACATACCTACTCAAGTTTTATGTTCTATAATTTAGTAACCAAAAGTTTAGTAAAAAGGTTATCAGGGCGTTCGTTCTTTTTCTGGTGATTCGACAGCAGCGTGAAAACTCTGAAGTTAGAGTAAAACGAAAAAAGAAAACACTATATCGCTTCAAACTTCAGTGAAGCGAAATTCGATGAAACGGCGTTAAGCGATTTGATGAAACGGCGTTCAATAGATCGGCGTTCGATATCTGTTTCCGATAAAACAGAGTTCCATAAAATTTAATGTACCCACTGTGCAGCCCTCCTTCCCATCCCTTTCGTGCTCAAATATGTCCACTTTCGTGTTCTCGAAGCAAGTAGCATACATTCGTTTTTGCCATCACCCTCTGGTCGTTTCCTGTGTTCTTTCGTACTTTTTTTTGTTTTATTTGACAAAGAAAGTCCGCCCAAAACGTTATATTTTATTCCTGTCCTCGTCATTTTCGCTGAGCAGGTAATTTGTTTTCTAATTTGTACCTATCGATTTTGTTTGTTAAAATTTTACTACAAAACTTTTCGACTCTCTGGCAATAAAAATTACTATGCGCTTTATGCACGTATTGTATTTACAAAAACGAATAAAGTGTTTAATTAAAAATATTTCTAATGTGCCTCTTCATCGATGTTCGGTAGGGTTTGGCGATTTCCGCCTTCTTACCTAATTAAATATTTTCATTATTATGTATGGAAAGCTGAAAATATATTTCTTTCGGTGATGGTAAAAACATCATAATTACCATAATAACTTACCATATTTTATTGAATTTTACATCGCTACTATTTTAAGTAATAAATTCAATTATATGTTTATCAGGGATAATCGTAATACACCTAACTATGACGACCTCTCTCAATTACCTGGTCTAGAGAGCATCACTGTCAACAAGGCCGATGTTTAGTCATTATTCCTCAACTTTGACGTTAAGAAAAGCGGTGGCCTAGAGATATCCGCTGTATGTTCCTCAAACGCTACGCGGAATGGGTTTCAGAATATTTGCATGCTATTTTCAAAACGTCATTGGCAACTTCGAGAGTGCCAGTTGGTTGGAAGCTTGCAATTATCACACCTATACATAGATCACGGAACCCCAATCAAGCCGTTAACTATCACCGCATTTTTTAACGTGTATTAGTTTTAAATTCCTTAAACACGTCATTGCTAAACACATCGTTCAATACGTCGCGGAATATGAACTACTGTCAAATGTACTACACTGATCTAGAACTGGGTTCTCAAGAGTAACCCAGTTAGTCAAAAGGATGCACACTTTTCTTTGCTCATTAATCGTCGAGGTCAGGTTGATGTCATCTACCCTGACTTTTTCAGAGAATTTTATGAGTTTTCTCACCCAAAGCTCTTGTTAAAGCTACGCGCGATGCATAAGAACAATCAGATTGTAAACTGCATCGGAGACTTTCTAAACGGAAGGGGGCACAACCTGATGTTTAACTCGAATGCATCTCATATTGCAAATGTAGAATCCGCAGAACCACAGGGATTTCTTTTGGGGCCGCTGCTTTACTTAGTATTTATTAATGATATAGCCAATAAAAATCATGTTAACTTAGGATTTTATTTTGACGATTGAATTTCATATCATGAAACCAAAAGTCCAGATTATTATCTCAGCTTCAATAATAGCCTCCAGCAGGTATCAAAGTTATCCAATCATTGGCAAGGGGTACTCAACAAAGAGAAAAAAAAAGCTCTATGTCTATCACCCATGAGAAACAGCCTTCACTTTTCACATACCAAATCAGTAAACAAACGCTGGCCGGATTTACGAATACACTTATCTAGGCCTACGTATAAGCCATAATTTAAAAATGGGACAAACATATTCCTCCTTCTATAGATAACGCTTCTAGAAAACTATGGGTCCTAAGACGCAAATTACGACAGACATTTCGATTACTAGCATAGAAAACGTTTGTGCTCTCTAACCTGACATACGCAAGTACAATTTGGAATTCGTACTCCAAAACGAACATCCCTATGCTAGAAAGGGAAAAAAGAAACGCGGTTAGATTTGTTTTCGGGTAATATAATAAGTTAGCTTCGGTTACCGACTAAGCTGATAGAAACACCTACCAAACCTTAATACCAGAAGTGCTCTTAACAGACTGCAATCAATGTCTGGGATAGTTCACGACATGATCAACATCAATCGGAAGAAATTCATAGCATTTCAGCGTTCCAATACAGGTATCCTACATGAGCATTATATTGTAGAAACATTGCCACGTAATAATGTATTGCAGTATTCAGTTTTTCCTCTAACCTTGAACTGGAATAACCTACCCACGAAAATACTAAACTTCAATTCTTTAGTACCATTTCTAAATTATCTAACAAAACACGTCCTCATTGAGTCAATTCTAAAATACTTTCGCTTGTAACTTTTTTGTTTGTATGCATGCATTTGGGAATGTTTTCTTACTGCAATTTATATTATTTGCCATTTTGAACGTGTATTTCTTTCTATATTGTTATTTATATACCATTCCTACAACCGCCCTGAACGCGGACTAGCAGTATGAATAAATAAAACAAGTAAGAAAATAAAATGATGACAGTCAGTTACTGTCCAACTCATTCTTTTAAAAAAACTTTCGACGTCCAGTATCAATTTATGATCGAGTGGCTTGCGCGCTTTGCGCGCTAGCAACTAATGCCCGAATCTGGCTTCGTCTGAACGGCCCAGGGTGCAGCGAGCTGGCGCACGCAAGCAGCAACCCCCAGGCCGGCGGCGGCGGCGGCCGCAGCCGCGCCGATCCGGGCGCAGGCACGGATGCCGATGGCGAGAAAGTGCTGCAGCGCACGTCGTCGCTGCTGCAGAACAAGGCCTTCACAGACGTCACCTTCATCGTGGGCCCGCCGTCGGCCTCCAAAAAGTACGTGGGCCACCGCGTGCTGCTCGCCATGACAAGCCCGGTCTTCGAGGCCATGTTCTACGGGGACATGGCGGACAAGTCCAAGGTCATCCGGATCGCGGATATAGCCCCCATCGGCTTCGAAAACTTGCTCAGGTCCGTGCGCGTTCCCTGTTCTTTACACTTGAGCCTGCGGTGTGGTACCACAAAGAGGGCCTGAAGACCGTATTGCTGCACACCGGGCAGCATACAAACAAAAGCTTAAAACATATAAACACGCACATTATATATATAGTCGCAGTACAAAAACAGAAAAACTTAACGCAAACTTATAGATACACGAATTATACATAATTACACACAATTAATTCGTACGGATTATACAGCATTTATAATTCTGAGTCAAACCAGCTGCTGAATCATAAATCAAGATAATATTAACACAACAAGTAAAATATCACTATGAAAACAAAGAAAATCGCTTCATACAAGGTAGGTACGTTGATCGCTGCGAAAACGGGCAATGGAGGCATACTTGTCATTTTTTCAGTTAAAGGCCGACCTACAAAACCATTTTCCACGGGAGAAGAGGTTTCCTCCTTGCCACCCAGAAAGGAGGAAACCCCTTTTTCTTTCCACGGAGACTAGCTTCCGGACCCGCCCTTTTAGGGGAGGAGGAGGAAGGAGTGCGAGAGTGGAGGGAGCGAAGGTCGTTGGGGAGCACTTTCCTACCCTGCGGAAAATGGTTCCGTAAGCCGGCCTTTAACACGTCTCCGCCACTGGGTCCGCAGGTAGAGAACATGATAATGATATTTTTTTTTTATTTTTACATTTATCTCGGTGTGTTAATGAAAGCGATTTCAAACGCTCACTTCTCCTACTTTTATAGGTAAGTGTTAGATGTAGAGTAACATGATAGCATGCACATTTTAGACATTCAGTTTAGAACCACTATAGCTGTTTTACAAGGCCAAAACTTGAGGTGCCTTTCAAGCGTGCCTGTGACGCAATCCTAGTTCACATAGAAGCCAGGTGTAGACGGCCTCTAAAAATGTTACTATCACTATCGAATGAAAACATTGTGGAGCGCACTTGTAGATTGATCTCATTTTCAAAGTATGCTCGAGTAAATGGGCTGACACAATCGGTGTTATAGCTCTGAAGGTTTTCTATCTGTTTTCTTATAAAAGAACAACACCGGTGAATATATCGTAGATATGATGTCTTTCGGGCGAGTGGGTTTAAATGATGGGCTGCAAAATATTAGTCTACTTTAAGAGTTGCCTTGTCAGTCTCGATTCGATCTATAACAGTCGTAGTAGGGTGAGAGCGCACCGACTGATTCTGTGGTAACCGCCTAATGATTTTGGACTTCAGCGGGAAAAAAAGAGGGTGACGACCAGGAAAAAAATGTTGATGTGTCTGAACGACTATGTTTTGTGCACGGAGGAAATTCGGCTCGGGTGTCCTATGGGCGAGAAAAACGAGAAGAATGTCGAAAGTCGACTGAACAGGCAGTGCGATCAAGACCCGGTGAACGAAAAACCCGACCCCCAGCGGATCGTGGTCGGCAGGGCTTGAGTTCGTGGTCCACAAATACAGGTCTCATCTACAGGCCTCCGCTACTTCAAACGACGACGTCCGAGCCGTTACGTAGTCCACTACCCAGCCCCAACGCGCCAAACTACTTGGCATCAAGACCTCGAAGTGCCAACACCGACCAGAATTCAGATCCCCTACATGAACATTAAGATATGCAATTCCTTAAAGAGACACTGACAACGCCACCCCCCCCCCCCCCTCTTTTTCCAAAAAAAATGTTTTAATTTTTGCCGGGCGATTTAATATGGTGTTAGCAGACTACAGATGAATACTTTGCTACAGAGTCACCTCCATAATGTTTGCAAAGGTGCATATGCGGGAAACCTCCGTGCAGTTGGTTCGTCCTTTCGGTGGGAGAAAAGGAAAATGGTCAGATTTTTTCAGAATGGAGTATGATGTGCTCCGGTATTTCGCTCTCAACCTCGCATACTCGGCACACAGTCTACCGCACACTAGTGTCGAAGCGCTCTTTGTAGGAGCAGTTAAGATGCACCGCCATCTTTCGGGAGTAGTGCAATGCAAGGCGCGACCAAAGTGCGCGGAGTGGCACTCGTGGGTGACGTGGTCGTAAGTAAAATAGGGTTCTTCGTGAACACCGGGAACACTCCGCCATCTTGACTGTTTACCGTCCTTCGTGTGCGGCGGGGCGTCGCTGGAATTGTGACTCTACGAACTGCTATTGCTTTCGAAGCGCCGAAAATCGAGGGACATCAACCAGTGACTGGGTTCAAAAAACTTGACACGGGGAGTATTCTACATCCTTTATTTTATCAGAATGTTCTTCATTAGCTGACAAGGCAGATAGCCCTAAAAGATGCAAGTAAAATTGCGGATATATGTTCGGGATTTACAGCCCCGTATGAAGAGTTTCGGTACGGTTCTTTCTTTCATGGCATTCCTATTTCTACAGTAAAATTGAGTTAGCACCGGCAGTACACCAACGTGTCTTTTGTAGCGTGGTGTTGAGCTAAACTGACAGTGCTTAAAAACTACGACGCCGTCACGATTGGCCTTCATAACAATCGGTGAAATAAATATTTTTCAACGCTGTCTATTTGTACACCGTCTACTCTGTGGTCGCTTCATTCCCCAGAATGTCCTGAGGATTTTCGAAACAATTCAGGTGTCTGGTAGCGGCTGTTTTCAAGTTCCAACCATCAACAATCATGGTCAGAATGGTCGTTTTAATACTTTGATTCCTTAATCTTTGCTTTCCTGGGTTAGCTTTATCATACTTCATCAGCGGGTGGGAAGGCATGCCACTTTATTTCGCTAGTAGTAATGGGAGCTTGTCTCCCGGTAGTTCTAATTTCAGCACCACTCTGAACGTTCACGACCATAGCTGTGACCATTTCGACAATCGCTTTCCGTAATTACAAGCCACAAAAATTCATCAAATCATTTTAGCTGCCATTAGCCTTAATTATTGTTAAAAGGACACCGACAGGGTCTTTATGCCCGCCAAGGTTTTTATTTGTACATTACATATGAGAGCCCAACTACCCAGAAAACAATTAGCGGCTCGAAATTGGTTTTTGGTTCGACCGAAAACAGCCGATCGAGAACTGGTCGGTTTGAGTCGGGCTCGCTCTCTTCTCCGCGCCCACGTGCCGTTTTCTATGGTTGAGACATAACCACCAAATTATAATCAAAGTCGTATGTCATCGAAAGCACACACCCAATATTAAAAAATAAAAAAAATTTTATGATTCCTATTTTTTGTGGCTTCTAAAAAGCTGCAATTGTGTTATTTGGGGGAAAGAAAAAGTATCAAAGCCACGCGATTGCGACCACCCCTCTCCTCCTCTATATCTCTTCTTCCTCCCCAGTCAGTTTCGGTTTCGGTTTCGTACAGTTGCGTTTTTTCTTTTTTTAACTTTAATATAACTATACGTGACGCTGTAGCAAACTATTGATTGGGTAGTCTTCTGACATCATAATAAATCGCCTGGCAAAAAACAAATTCTGTTGTGTTAGTGTTTCTTTAAATAACGTTCCTGAAGCCTTTATTTGATTAAGACGTTATTGATTGAGAAGCAGCCCTTGCATCGAAGCTATCTGTGTTGTGTTGAATGCTCAAAATTCGCTCAACCACCAATTTGGGCAACACGCGTCATTTAACACAAGTTGCAGCTGTTTATTGTGTCGAAAGCTGTCATACCGAGACAAAATTTTCGTTCTCGTCCATGTTGTGATGCAGTTGTTGCAATGTGACAGAATTGTCGGACAACACGTGGGGTCAGCACCAAGCTGTTTGACTGTTGGACAACATGTTGTGCTCCTGTTGCCGTCGTGTTGCATCAGTGTGGCAGCGCATTAAAATGAGTAGGAAAGCTCATGTCGAAAGAGACGAAGGCAGTCGAGAAATCTTGGTTTTGGGGGGACAAATTTTGTCTAGTTATTTCCCCTTGAAAAGGACCCCCCCCCCCCCCTCCCCCCTCCGCTCGCAGAATTTGCAACACTTTTTCCAGGGGGCAAAAAAGGGCTAGAGAGGTTTGACGAAAGTGCTTTTATGCGGAATTATTCACTAATTTCTACAACCAAATCGAGACCTGTGTCCACCGAGGAATTTCGTTTGTGCAAAACTTGGATCACACAAGGGTCAATTTTTGTGCGTGAACGAGTATGAGATGAATGAAGATTGGTGACAGAGCCGCAATCTCTTTAGCGCGTTTGCCTCAAGTTTTGCATTAACTACCCACGGCATGCATACATAATGCGCGGGACTATTTCATATATTGTAATTAAAAAAGAAACAGTTTCGCCTTATTTTGTGCATTCAGTTAAAAAGTGCAAACATGTTTTGTTTTTTGTTTTTTTCTTGGAAAGTTCTTGTTTTAGGCCTGGAACAGTGGTACAAAGGGATGACAACCGTAGAAGCTCAGCTGTTCATCTTGCAACCGAATCTGCAGTTCACATTGAGATAATTTGTGTCACGAGGAGGTAGAATATAGGCGGTGTTTTTCCACACAACACGTTCGTATAGAGGTTAAAAATATTTTTCTTACTCAATCACATGCGCCGCATTAACAAAGGGCTGTCTAATGACAGGCAAACACCTGAATATTACAGTTTTGTCTTTTTTTTGTTTTAAAATTATTTGCATTAATAGATTAAAAGTGTGTGGTCCTAAAGACAATTGAATGATATTTATAAATGTTATATATTCCGAAGCTAATATTTGCGCTTCAAACCAGAGTTCTCATTGGGTATCACTTTGTTCTTTTGCAGCCTTGCATAACGTAAATATTTGGAGGCACAAGTTTATATTCAAGTTAAACTAGCTGAAAGAAATAAAAAGCACTGCCCGAGCCTTTTAATGTCCCCGGATGAAACATCAGTGTAAGTAGGAGAACTTCGGTAACACGAACGACACCAGTAGCTCCTGTAAGGCAGCCCACGACAAAATGGGTGCGCAGACGACCCACTGAGCAGTCAATTAATGTTACATGACGCAACCAAACAAGTGTACGTCGTGGCGGTGACATGCAACCAGGGGCGAGTGTAACAGTGCTTTAAACGTGACTTATCATTACTTAGTGAGGACCAGCTAACGCACTGCTTTCTAACGACACACAGGTACGCATACACGGACAACCTCAAACTTCAGACTGTGGACGACGCCATGCTGACCGCGTACGCCGCAAAAAAATACATCCTGCCACATCTTCTACGAGACTGCTTCGCCTTCATCGAGAAGCACGTCACCCCGCAGACGGTCTGTCAGGTGTTCGAGTTCGCCCAAGTCATGGAGGCCTTCCCGCTCGTCCACCAGTGCCTCAACATCGTGGACCGGCAGACTTACCACGTCCTCACTTCGCCAAACTTCCCCAACGTGGCCCTGCACACGCTGGAGACCATCGTGCGGAGAAAGTACCTAAACCTTTACTCCGAGTACGCCCTCTACTCGGCCGTGGTTCAGTGGGGACAAGAAGAATGTTCGCGGAGGAACCTCGAGAAGGACATGGACAACGTGCGTGGCGTCATCGAGTCCGTCCTGCCACTCGTCCGCTTCCTCGCCATGAGCCCCGAAGAGTTCTGCAAGGGACCGGCGAAGAGTGGACTCCTTTCAAAGGAAGAATGCTTCTCGGTCTTCATGAACATGGCCATTCCGGGCATTGTGCCTCTTCCCAAGGGGGTCAGCATGGAAGGCGCCAAGAGGACATCCCCGCCGGAGTATTTTGTGGCACGTCGCTACCAGGCGGTGTCCTTCCACGCGCCATCCAGGCCTCTGCGGCTTTTCGGACTCAAGTTTACGGTTCCAACTCGGGACGTCTTCCTGGTAGGCATCGGGTTTCCCGTCCGACAAGATCTGGGCTCGTACAGCGTGCGCCAACCCAAGTTCGAAGGTCAGTTGCGCTGCAGCTATCGAGTGCAGGAAGACCGTAAGGAGCGAGACGAACTGGATATTTCGTTCACGCTCGCCAAGGACAAAGACGTTCGTATCAAGTTTAAGAAACCCATCTTTGTGAGGAAGGGTCTGGAGTACGAGCTAGAGCTCCAACTGAGCGCGCTCATGAGCGACGACGTGATTGTGCCTTCGCTCAAGAACCGTAAGAAAGAGGACACGGTAGAAGGTGTCACTTTCCAGTTTGCTGCCTTCCAGAGGCCGCATATGTCCAACGTCCTCGAGATCCTTGAACTTTCGGATCTTCTATTCTACTACTAGCCAAAAAAAAAAAAAAAACGGCTGTCAGGAGTTGCGGAATACATTTTAAATGCGAACATCGCAAAGTACGAGAACGATTTCGACCAAGCTGTCCATCCGAATATACTGGTTGGGCAATACGTTCTGGCGTCAAAAATGCCGTTTCTTGTGAGGCATTGAAGGGCAAAATGGCGTTTCTTGTGAGGGAGGCGCCTCCTACAGTATACGCAAAATGAAGGACGAAAGTGGATGTCGTGATCACGACTGGTTATGAAGTCAAGTAAAGTCGAAACTAATAATATCAAAATAGTACCACGCTATGGAGTCGACTTCTTCGTCACACCAACGTCTGACTCGCTTTTTTGTGCCGTACTTGGTCACTAAAATGGAAACTATGTTATTTTTATATTATCTTAAGTTAGAAAATCACCTGCTCTAGAAAGCTATTTATAATTTGCATTGCCCATTCCGGAGGCATTCAGTGCACCAGTGGGACTACATGGCATGAGTCACCAGTGCATCTAGCATTACAATTTCGATGGACGTAAGCAATAAAAGTATAGCTTTAGGCATTCCGCTGATGCTGATGGCGAAGCGTCTGCTCTAGAAGTTTTGATAGCGGTGAGTCTGCAAGTGATGGGATGCAAGTTGCCAATTGCTTGTGAAATAGCCTGAAGGCAAAACGTAAGATGACTTAAGAAAGCACTACATTGATGAGTTGCTGCCTATTAATGCCTTAGCGTATAGGATAGTGCATATTCCGAAGATTGAGAGGGAAACTAACGTACAGTCGGTCGACGAACGCGCTACGGAGGTGCGGCACTACAACATCCAAACCGTCTTGTCGTTAATATGAAGCCCGTTTGTGTCTCCAGTATTCTATGACATTTTAAGCGTTAACCTTGCCTCCTTATAACGTCACGCTCAGTCAACTAGACCCCTGACAGCACAGCGTCATTTCAATTCGGGGGACCACTCCCTCGGAGAGAAGAACGGTTCAAGTGAACCACATAAAATTTTACAAACCAGACTTGAAACCATACTGCCACCTGCAAGACTTGTACTTCGGTGTTGCCGAGCGCAGCGATGTGACCAATACCTGCCTTTAGACCACACTTCGAAGGGTTTTCTATAGAGTATTTTGTTTTTATGGTCAATCTCAGTGCTGTAGAGATGTAGATTTTCTTAAGACACCTTAAAAGGCACATTTTCACAAGTTCCCGTTTAACAGTGTGATAGGACGTAATTAATAAATCACATAATTAAAACGAATGCCCTGTTAAGAAGGCGGCGAAAATGAAGAAGAAATATTTGAGTAAAATTGTGAAAAAAATACTCATAAAAAAAAACCTACCGGAAGTTCTCGTCACGACCCTGGTAATGTGTCTCTAGGAAGGGAAACCGGCATGGCTTGAAATAGATAGGAATTATTCCTTATATATTTGTAGGTTTTTCCCTCTGTCCGGTCATAGCCAATAGGTTTCTTCTACGCATATTCTCACCCTTTGTTTCTTTACATGTCCATTAAAGCGTGGCAATGTGGGCCTATTTCTTCGAGCAATAAAAATATTGTTATGAGTCATTGTCATCTTTATCTCTTGAAAAGTACCCAAAATGAGTTCCTTGCTATGCATTTTTTAATAGGTCATCTATGCTGAGAAAGTGAAATAGTGTCTCACGGAAAACAGAAGATCAATGAGAGGGACGCATCGTTATCAAAACGTAAGTCATACCTCCGTGCACACGAGAAACCCGAGAGAATGGAGGCAGGTAGACCATGCATCCAGATGTGCAGCGAAAATTATTTCGTCTTTCTCGTGAAAGCGTTCGCGCGAGAGTAGTCACGGTCAGCTTACCACGGGCAGAGTTATCTTCTCATGGATCAGTCCATATCTACCGCTACGCTCACTGACGCTCGACCATTTTAAGTGGACGGCTAGGTTTAAGCGATAAGGCCTTCTTCTAGGGATTATTTTGCATAGCAAGCGAGTCAAGCATCAAGTTTTGCATAGAAAAAACAAAGGCATAAAAATACGAAAGACACATAATGGAATCCAACCTAACCCAGGCTCAAGGAGCTGCGTATATAAGCCAGTGACTTCTATTCAACACCGTAATATATCGTGTGAGAGGTAGAGGGAGCTCGGCTGTGACAAAACGTACGGTATATTACAGCTTAAGTAGGGGGTTCTTGAGCAAGTTTAAAAAAACAGAAATGGGCGACGTTCGAACGGTGACCAGCGAAGGTGAAAAAGATCCTCATGTTGAGCCAGAGGTGAAACAATATTGTTTTCTTAAGCCGAGGAAAGTGGTCAGGAGCGCCGGCGATGGCAGTACCAGATGCCACAGAGACGCGAGACCAGCCTTTCACAACGCGAAGAGGCTTCTTAAGTTGGAAGTTATGGACGGCGTTCTGCTGCCCTCAAACGCGTTCAACGTCGACAACCTGACCGACGCACTTCGCTACAAACCACTCCCAAGGGACATCTTCATAGCCACCTATCCAAAGGCGGGTACCACCTGGACGCAATACATCGTATGGGCGCTCCTCAACCTCGACAATAATGAGGAACCGCTGCCGTCGCTTAAGCGCATCAATTACGACCTGATGCCATTCTTGGAATTCGTAAGTACAAAGTATATTTGTGGTATGTTTGTGTTGTCCTGGACGCAAACACAACATTTGGGGGATGGGTTCTTTTTCACCAATGATGTTTAACCTCGTAGAAATTGGAGAGGACAGTTTATAGCAAGCAATGCTCTGGTGCGCTCTCTTGCGATGCTAAAAAACAGATCGCTGTTTGGAATGCCTCTGTTTGCGGAGAATGTTAATAGCAGTCCCATATTAGACAAAAATAGTCATGTTCCGAATCGAACAAAAAAAATGACTTGCCCCCCCCCCCCCCCCCCCCCCCCACTCACCAGGGACTGCGGCTGTCTAGAGGTGCATTTCGCACGTCGCCTATCCCCAGCCTTTATGCAGAGTCAAATGAATGGTCCCTGGAGAAGCGAAGGTTTGCTTTAGTGTTTATGCATTCTCTTAGAATTCGTTCGGTTCCCTTGCACCCTTCTCGAGAAACTGTTGAAGAAATGAGATAGTACAATGCCCGTCACTCCTGTTCCACAAGCAATAGCTCCGTGGGACCACTGCCTCATTTCCTGTGACCTCTCACTAACGAAAATTAAAAAGAAAGAAACTCCACCAGACTACATAAAACAGGAATGTTTTGAGCTTCAAAGTAGATATTTTGGACACAACTCATACTACACGGATGGTACTAAGACAGAATCGTTTGTTGGATGTGCTATGGTCGGCCCCTCTGTTCGCTGTGCAAAACGGATTGCGTGTACAGCTACTATTTTAACAGCATAGTTATGCGGTCTCCATCTTGCAGTTGATCACATTGTAAAAACAAAGAGCAAGCAGTCAGTCGTGTACACTGGTTCACTGAGTTCTCTGCGTTCACTCTCATCATTAAAGACTTCGAAAAACCCAATAATCATGAAGTTACAGAATAAAATTATTGATGCTTCAAGAAGGAATATTAAAATAATTTTATGTTGGGTTCCTAGCCATGTTGGTATACCCGGAAATGAAGAAGCAGACCTTGCTTCAAGTTCTGCTGGTGAGCAAGAAGTGGACCTGCATGACATTCCATACAAAGATTATAGCACACTTTTAAAGCATTCTATTAGAAGGAAGTGGCAGCAAGAATGGGATGAAGAAGTTAATAACAAGCTCCATTCTGTAAAACCATCGATCAGTGAGTGGGAGAGTGCCCGACACCGTGAACGTTTCTATGACGTTGTCTTGTGTCGAGTGAGGATAAGTCATACACATCTCACTCATGGCCACCTCCTGCGCAGGGAAGAGGCCCCAGAGTGTGAGAACTGTTTTAGTCCTCTAACAGTTTTACACATTTTACTTGAATGCTCAGAGTATGACCAAAAACGTCGGAACGTCTCAGTTATATAACGAGCATTCGCCTTTACACCTTAGTATTCTACTTGGCAACGACCCACTTGTACCACACAGTTGTGTTTTTAACACAAGTTGAATTTATGAAGTTGAAGAGATGAAGTTGAATTTATATTCAACTTCATCTCCATCACTATTTACAAGTCATATACATAGCTTTAATCCATCACAGCTACTAAAGCTCTTTCCCCTCTGAAACCTTCTCTGCAATAGTCTGTATCTGGCGCATCATAGCCTAAGATGCTTCTGCGCCATAAAACCCTTATTAATCAATCAATCAACCCCCCCCCCCCACCCAAACACACATTAACGCTTCTGCCAACAACTTTATCCCAAAAGATGTTTCTCATCGGGATGGTCTTTAACATTTCATGGTATTGGCAGAAATTATTAACTATTATGCACGTTTCTGATAATTTAGTATCCTGCTGTCCAAGCTCCGTGGTTGTTTCTCACGAACAAAAAACAAAACATTGAAACTGACACGAGAGTTGATCGCTAACATTATGTTGACGCAACATTTGCAATCTTATTCCAGTGGAGGTTTTGAGGTTCCTAGAAGCACAGTCTGCATCAATACAAAACAACCATTCGAAGCGCGTGGACAAGACGGCGGCCTGCGGAAGCGCTTCTCGAGCTTTGGGTAATTTGATGTCGCTCAGAGTGAAGGGAAGAGTCTATCAGTTAAAGTTCGTCCTGTCTACTTCTCTCCTGTGTCTGTTGTTTTGCGCGCTGCTCATATATTGTTTAAACATGAACGAACTCGCACACACCGCCATTCCAGCTCTTCATCAGTGCTGGCGACTGTACATCTGCCCAGATAAAGGCCCGACAACTTAGTCGTTTATGCGAAAGGCCGACTTTGTGTTGTCAACTCTTGGTTTGGTCAAGTAGAACGGCTCGACATGTTACTTTGAATTCTAACTCCGACTAATTGGTTTCTTTTATCTAACAAGGCTACTTCCAAAAATATTCCAACTAGATATTTGAGGCATTAGCGTGCGTCCAGACATTAGTAAAACGATATATAGCACGGAAACATTGTTGGACACAAGAAAGTTGAGTCCACGTTGGCCTAATAGTAAAATTTTATTTCTTTTTGTTTTAGCAGTGCTGACTCTGTAGGCTGGAGTGGAGAGTATACCGAAACTTTCCAATTCTATAACTCAACAGTGTTCAACTATTGTTGGCAGTGCGCGCAACAAAATGCGCGAAATGAATACGATCAAAAGTTACCTTATTTCGAGACAGAGAGTATATCAAATGATATGTTTGAAATTGATGCTCGCACAAATGTTCCAGACACGTGGTGTGGCATAACTTCTAAAATACATAAAAAGTCATTTTTAGATATATTCCTTGCACGCTATGTAGAGACTAGTTTAGTTTTTGGGGTGACTAGAGACGCTGCCGTTTAAACTTTTCGTGAGAGTTTGTGCTTCCACTGTCCCGGAAAAGGTCGGTTTTATTTTTTTTATTTACTTATTTGATTCCACTTACCTGCAGCCCCCAGAGATAATTATTTCAGGGTGTTGTGCTAGTACACAAATGTTCACAAGAATAGACCCGAATATACAGCAAGTATACATAGGAACATACACGAAAATGTACTCCGTCCTCTCATATTGAGACAGAAATAAAAGTCAACAAAGAATAAGATTTGTTCAAATAGACCACCGCGAACCCGATATTTACTTATGTATTTCGTCCATCGCACTCATTCGCCCATAGTGAAATCCCTACCCCCCCCCCCCCCCCCCACTCCCCCGGCTACACTATTGGTTCACGTGAGAATGTTTACACGAGCCCGCATATATTGGTCAAGGCGAGCGGGTTCAAGATCAATACATAGAAATGAAAGAATAAAACACGGAGGACAAGCGCAGGACAACCACTTGTGGTTGTCCTGTGCTTGTCCTTCGTGTTTTATTCTTTTAATTTTGTGTAGCCGCATATATTCTTCGTACTTTTCAAGAACAAGCCAGTTGGTGTTCATTCATACCTTCAGGAAATGTGAAACATAGGATCGCACATAACGGAACAAACACGCACCATTCGTATGGTATGTTTCTTGCTATGTATTCCTCAGTCTCAAAAAGTTTGTTGAAATTCTGCGCTTTCTTTTCTTTTGATTTCACGGTCTTTTCCGCCTTCTTATTCATACAGCTGTGGTTCTTAGACTTCAGTAATGAAACTCCTAGGAGTCAGAATATTTACTGCCAGACCTTCAGGGGCAGGCTGCAATTGGATGCTCGAACGTAGTTTTATAATGGATGTTTGGGGGGGGGGGGGGGGGGGGGCTCTATTGTTTGTTCTTCGATCGAGGCTCTTGCCGCCTCAAAATAGCATAAACAGAAAAGAAAAGAATGGACAGCAGGTCCACTTTTCATGGGCACGGAACGTTTCTTTTACACATTCTAACTCGGGAGCCGCAAAACGCGGCCTTCCTGTTGGCCGGAAAAGGAGCGAATGCGGGAAACGCCTCGAGTTTCCTTGTGGATACGACTCTCTAAACATTTGGAAACAACTGGCATATAAACTTCCATAAACTTCGTCGTATTTAAGGGCAGACCGCGGCCCATGCTGTTAACCGACAGAACCAATCAAACATCACCAAAAGTGCATCCGTCATTGTCTTTCTACCTTAACTATATATAGTTGCCAATCACACAGTGATTGCGCCCCGATATAGGGCTCAGTGAACAAAAGGTAAGGGCGCAAACGAGCTGGTGGTGGTTAAACAATTCGAAAAAAACCCCGAGACGGGGTCAAAAAGGGACGGACAAACACCAAGTCTCTTGTTTCTTTGACTGTGCGCGATTGATTTCACCGGTGGAATTTAAACCCAGAAAAACAAGGAGCGCCGTGAGGGTGCACTTTAGGCGCTGCTCGATTTTTCTCTCCATCCGATTGTAGTGTAGGGTGCGGTCGGACTTGGAGCAAAACGCAATTATTCCACTCTAAGACGTGTGGAGCGTTGACTTTTTCGCAACTCACCCGGGTATAGCCAATAACTCCGATCTATGGACGGAGCTCGGTGAATGAGATGTCAGAGGATACGTTGGAGGGTAATTCCACGCCAAAGGACCCGGGCCTAAATTCGACCCTCGCGCATTCGTTCGATAAAAAAGTGTATGCATCATTGGGATTGTAAAGGTTCTTTTCAAAACAATTTCTGCTATAATATTTTTTTTACTTTTTTGGCGAGATTTTTATTTTTTGGCAAAACAAGCCCCAAAGCGCAATATACGAAAAGCAAAATTTTTGGAAAGGTTTTAAATAAAATTTCGAATTGAACACTGTATTTTGCAGGTCCATACATTCTTCTAAATTATCCAACAGGTTTTGTCACGCATTTCCGGTGTTTTAAGGGTGCAGACCCGTTGAACATGTCACAAAAAACTTTGATATTTGCTTCTTACTTACAAAAAGAAACACGCACAACCATAATAAAACTTAAAACTTATGTGTGTTAGTTGTAAGAGAAACGAAGTATGCTTTAAAATATATTTTGATAATTATAGTGCTACTGTGTTTCCTAAAGCACTCGTACAATATTAAAGATATAGCAAAATACTCACTTAAAAAATAATACTCATAAATGTGGTCCGTCTAAAAATATATACTCAGCGGCTATGAATAGTATAAAGCAGACATACGAAACAACCAAAGTTGGAAAAAATTATTTTATTAAAAGCACAAAAAAAATGAATTTGGTTCACTGGCAGTGCCAAAAATATTGTGAAATACTCCGTTTTCAAAGAAAGGAAAACACAACAAAAACAAGAGGTGTTAGATTGTAAAAAAAAAATAAAATATTTTGATTCACTGCCAGTGCGAAAATTATTGCGAAATACTCCGTTTTCAAAGAAAGCAGAACAAAACAAAAACAAGAGGTGTTAGGTGGAAAATTCGTAGTTCACGGTTATGTGTAGTTATTGACTGAGAAAACAAAGAAACAAAGTTTTTAAATATACAAATTGCTTTAAACAAAACAATATTTTTAATGGCTATACCTGCATTGAACAGATTGCACAGTTATCAGTTGAAAAAGAAGTATTTGTTCTAAAAATCCATACCTAACAGTTGAACATAATTTAGAATTAAAAAAACAAACGAGGAAAGTTTATACAGTGTAGTTTATAAGTAAATTGAAATATATATATATATATGTATAGTCTATCACCTTCTTGCGTCCCCTCCCTGAGACAGACAAGCATTATTTCATGCGTTAGCAGATAGTTAACACAAAAAAGAATAAAACACTAAAATGTTTATGTTTCTATAAACATACTTATAAATATAATATTTATTATAAACCATATGTATATCAAAAAAGGATTCTGGTTAAGGCAACTTTCGGTAGGAATTTGTACCTTTAAAGCAAAATGAAAAAGCCAACACTAAGGTGGAGTGGGCACTATTAGTGTCTTTCATTTTATCCTTCTACACTTATATAAAAATAAAACAGTGTGAATATGAGAAAGTTGATTAATTTGAAGTTGCACAGCAGAAGAAAAAAATAATGCTGAAATTTTGTTTTCTGAGCGATATAAGTACACATAATTTTGTTTCTGAAGGCCATCTTGAGTCGTGCTCCTTCGTACTCAAAGGCCCTTTCCCCGGTCCAACAAGAAACTAGGCGAAATGGGGTTGCATTGGGTTTCACTTCAAAAATTATTTCTCTCGCTTTCCAAAAATATTTTATACTTTGCTAGTTTGTTGTTTTTGTCTAAGCTACATATGGCCGTAAATTATGCATTTCTGGAGGGAACACCTTTTAGTTTTCGCTTTGAAAACAACATTTTGTAATAAGGTTTATGAACTATTGTTTTATTTTGCTTTTATATATTGTTATATATTAACTTTGTTCGTTTGTTTTCTTTGTTAATAACGACATATACAGTAAATTGTATATATTTAAACAAAACACCTTTTCTTTGTTTTGAGAACAAATATTTTGCAATATTTTCAGCACAGGCAACAGACAAAACATATTTTAATATATTTTATCGATTATAAAAAAACTAATATTTTTGTTAGAACTTTGTTGGTTTGTTGTGTGGATTCTATATTATTTACAACTGTTGAGTATATAATTTTAGACCGACCACGTTTATGAGTTTCTTTTTTTTTTACGTGCCTATGCTCAATGCTGCTAATTTATTTTAGATAACACAGTAAAAGATGTTGTATGAAACGATCTTTACTATATTGTTCTACTACGAAAACACATGTTTTAAGTCTTATTACGTTAGCGTGGTTATGAAAATCAAAGTGAATATCAGCTTTTCGTGACATTTTATAAGCACTGGGAAACGCGCGACAAATCCTATTGGATAATTGAGAAGAGTACATTGACCTACAAAAAACGGTGTTTTTTTTTCAAGCCTTTTCTAGAAAAAAATTGTTATTTACCCCTGAATGCCTATTTCTCGCAAAATTAAAGGTGTCGTCACAAAAAAAAAATGTTTGAAGCAAAAATATTTTAGACAAGAAAATTTTAGATCACCGAAAACGCAATGTTTAGACCAAATACGTGACGGTTTAATTTAGGCCTGGATCGTTTGGCATGGAGTGAACCGTTGATAGATAAAAATGTTGCGCTGTGGCACTATGGTGTCTGGAGTGTGGAACACGCTTGTCCGACTGGTGTGTTTAACATGTACGGAAAAGTGTTCCCTTCAATTCCGCCTTTTGAAGTCGTGGAGTGTTGCGCTCTCGCCGGTCGCGATTATGGCGGTGTCCCAGCAGCGGTTGTGTACTCGTATGTGGCAGACACCTGTTCTGCTGCAAGTCGCTGCCCAGTTCGAAAGTCCATGGAAGTTTCGGCAGCCAGGAGTTGGGACGACACGACGACACGGCAACGCTTGCGTTCGCTCCAGTTCTTCGCCAGCATTTATACGACCAGCCGTCAGAATCATGTCATGCGGCAACATGACGCTCTGCATGCTCTGACGTCATTTGTCGACAGTTTGGGACCACTTTTGGTGTGTGGGCAGGATGGGACGCAAAACACCAATCGGGACCACGTTCCAGGATTCCTAGTTTCACCGAGCGTGACGTTTCAAGATGCTCAATTCCGGATTGCATACAACATTTGGGGGGCCTAAATATATTTTCAGGGTCGCCACTCCACGAGCTCGCTCCGTAGACTGCAGAGATTTTGTCCCTCCCAAGTGCTTTGCAAAAAAGTAGACGCTGACGATTTACTCGACCAAAGCATGGCGGACGTGTTTGATCGACACATCAAAATTAAGACTGGTGGAGATACTGTGTACCAGTTATGGTATGGCCAGTTACACCATCGCAGACACTACCCATCTGACACACACGAACGATCATTGAAGCGAAAGCAACTGCCGCACTGACAGAATCTAATTCTTTCTAAGCAAACAAAAAAAGACTCCTATTTTCAGAAAAGCACACTTTCCCTCTCTCAGGCTGGCAGAAAAGCGGTGGAGAAACTTCCCGAGCCGCGGGTCATCAAACACCACCTGGTTTTTTCCAAGTCTCCCTACCACCCAGAGGCCAAGTACCTGGCCATCGTACGAAACCCGTTCGACTGCGTGGTGTCCTTCTACCACCACTGCCTGGACGACCGCGCCAACCTCGAAATGGCCGAAGACGCCACGTTCGACGACTTCTTCGAGGACTTCATGGATGGACACGTCCCGTTCGGCGACTACTTCGAGCTGGTGTTGTCCTGGTACGCGCATCGCAGAGACCCGAATGTTCTGTTCTACTATTACGAGAAGCTAATTGATAACCCGAAGGAAGGCTACCTCAAAATCGCCGATTTTATTGATAAGTCTATTGGCGAAAAACTACGAGCAGATGAGGCGCTCTTGGCGGCCGTGGTCCGCAAGACGTCTTTCAAAAACCTAAAGACCAGCGTCATGATTTCACACGACGATGAGGACTCAGTCAAAGAGGAGAAAGGAGACGAGGAAGTGTTCGCACCCTTCAGAAATTTCTTTCGCAAGGGTGTCGTCGGCGGGTGGAGGTCTTACCTCAAGGCGGAACAGGAACGCAAGCTCAGGGAAGTGTACGAAAAGCATATACGGGGAACGGAGATGTGGGACGTTTGGAAGACCCACGTAGATATAGACAATACGCATGCTAGCTAAAGTGACCTCAGGTTTCCTGTACCGACAAAAAGGATAGAAATTGAAAAAGAAACCTTACTGAAAATGTGCGTAAACTTAGCAAGTAATAACTGCCGACACCTCTACTTGTCCCACGTGCGATTCTTAAGACATCGCCCCAACCTAGACCCCCAACTCCCGAGAGACAGTGACAAAAGCGCCCAGTGCGCATACACTATTGGCCCTCCCCTCCCCCCCCCCCCCCCCCCCCCCATCTTCATTCACAACGCTCTCTCTCTCTCGTTACGGTTGGCCAGCACCGGCCCTCGCGTTTTTCTTGAGGAAGTGCAGGAGCGCCTCTATTGGTTTAAGATTTTTTTAATTCGGTGATAACATTCGTTTTGCGCCAATAAGTACAAATTGCCGGTGGTCGGGAAGCTGAAAGATTTATTTTAATAAATGATCACACTTTATTGCAGGGATACCTTACACTATTCCCGGGTACAGGCCCTAGTCCGGGACGTACCTCATATAATTATTGCTGTGTCTAAAGATACGTCGGACGTATCCCGATCCCAGAGTCTAAAGACTCATCGGACATACCCGGAATCCGGAATCTAAAGATAAGTCGGACGTATCCAGATTCCAGAGTCTAAAGATACGCCGGACGTAGCCGGTGAATGGTCACCGGTCCGTCGGACACACCCGCTCCCCGCTCGCGAGTCGCGCTTTCTTGTTTTTGCATTTACGATTAGGATAAAAGAAGGTTCGATCAGTTCAAGCTTGTTACAAATCAATCCATTCCAATCCAGTTCGAGTAGCCGCAAACCATCATCGTCATCGCCCACAACGAAAAGTGTTATGATCACAAAGAGGCTGCATGTGATTTGCACGTGTGACAATTAAAATTCTACGTGTAGCAGACCTGCAATAGGCTAGTCCACTCTGATATACATGGCTTGCAGAATGCACTGGAAGCTCAGCTGACTTGTTTCCAGTCTGTAGCATAAGTACAGGGCCGGTTTTGCATTTTCAGGTTCGTTAACGGAGAGAAAAACCGAAAGCTGCTCGACAGCGTTCGCTCCTTGTCGGTTTCTTACGTCAGCAGGTGCATGTAAAGGAACGTTATCATGCAAGCGCAAAAATCAGTAGGCAGGAGCCGTGACCCGCCCATCATTTTTGACACACTTCATGCTTTGCACGTCTGTACGAAACGAAACTTCGACCGCCACTGGAGGAAACTGCCGGAAACGGCAGACGACGATTCATGATTCGTCAGTTTCGTACTCTCTCCAACATTAATCTCGAAACTCATGAAACGAAACTTTGACCGCCAGTGAAGGAAACTGCCGGAAACGGCATACGACGTTTCATACCTCGTCAGTTTTGTACTCTCTCTCGAACATTGATCTCGAAACTCACGAAACAAAACTTCGACCGCCAGTGAAGGAACTGCCGGAAACGGCACACGAAAATTCATGATTGGTCAGTTTCGTACTCTCTCTCGAACATTGCTCTCGAAACTCACGAAACGAAACTTCGACCGCCAGTGAAGGAAACGGCCGGAAACGGCATACGACGTTTCATACCTCGACAGTTTCGTACTCTCATTCGAACACTGATCTCGAAACTCGACAGTTGAGCCGGTTGAATCCGTTGAGTTCGGAGTAGGCGAAGCATACGGCATACTGCATGGTGCCCCGAACACCCCGAATGCGAATTGCGGCTACGTCCACAGACTCCGAGTCCCGGGTACGTCCGACGTATCTTTAGACTTCGGGTTCCCGATACCTCCGACGTACCTTTAAAGACAGCGTATAATTATTTTAATTGCGGAATTTGTTAATTGCGCAAATATCTTAATTCCGCTGATTCATTTACCAGCTAGTAGGATACAGGGGAGTGATAAAGTTCACGCAGTCAAAATGTATATTGTAGTTACTGTAAGTACTGAGTATTCAAATATGTAGCACGTAAAGTATTTAGCAGCGTGAAACACCGGAAAATGGCTATTAGATTACGGTTTTATTTCTTTTCAATTTTCTGCGCTGTCTATTTTTTATAAATAATTACTTAGGCCCATGCTGAATATTGTTTCTAAAAGCAAATAAATAGAGCGAGGGGAAAATATTCTGGAGACCACGTCAAGCAAAGAAGAAAAAACTAAATGAAAAATAAGAAAGAAGACACGAATGTATACTACTGTTACATTCCTCTTAAAATCCGTTTCTCCCTAAATTCTGCATCTGGCATCCGAAATTATGTTGAAAACTACGTGAAAAATGCCCCACTTAATGGGGTGTGCATACAAACTTCTTTATGCGGTCACTGGATTTGTTAAAAACAAAAAGGTGCTTCTATTCTGAACAAATTTTGAATGAGAAGAAACAGACGAATATTTTCTCCCGTAGCAAGTCATGGACGACAGCAATTTGTCTTTGTCCCGCCAGTGATAAAGGAGAAAGGGAGTCAGTAGCTCATGTTTGACATTAACCTTTACAAATCTGCCGATATAATTGTCACTTATATGCTAAACAAATACTCTCAGCTTAACATGTTACTAAAATCCACTACCAAAAAACAAAATTATGTAAGTGCTTTGATATAACAAAAAAGCTTTTGCGAACAATTACAAAGTGTGTCACCTTACTTCATATCAATGAAGGCAGAAAACGATAGGACTTATTTAATAGAGAAACTAAAGAACATTAAAGGATCCACCCTCATTCTAATTAAGAGCTTGATCACGCCTTACGTGGCGATGATGTCGATTTTTGTTCGCTTTATTTCATTCAAGCGGTGTTGCTACATGTGAAGTAAAAGCTAACATCTGTAAATGTGAGAGGTTAACCAACACGCCACTTCATTTTATTCATTTTTTGTATTATTGAACTCATTCCGCCATACGCACTCGGAGTAGACGTACACAAAACCTATTTTCAGAAATGCTTGTTTCGTCAATTACCTGCTTTAATATTTGTACTTTGGCTTTCATTCGTTTTGCACGTATTGTTCAAGACACGCTGTACATAGCTCTGACTTGCACGTGAATAAATTTAAATACGTGACTACATATTCGCGCTTTTCGAGACCTTTCAACATCAGTAAACAGTTTGCTTTTTTTAATGTATATTTATGTTTGTTGGTGACATTACTAGTGTGATAAAATGTCTGTAGATTCTTCGCTTTGCTTGTGGTTCCGAAGAGGTAAGGGCGTCCACGTGCACAAGTACGGCATTTTAAACACACTTCCAGGAAACAGCCGCCTACCAGCACGGCGCCTGGAACGCCATCTTAGACAAATATGATTTCTTCATTTTCGTAAGTATTCCCCTTTAATTCCGCCTTCTGACGTCACGTCATTCAGCAGCTGTCCGCAATCCTGGCTATGGCGCAGCAGCTGAGAGGAATGTGGAAGACACCTTTTCAGCTGCAGGTTGCTCTGCAGCAGACTTGGACGTGGTTCAAATACAGTACTCAAAATACTGTAGTTTAACCGAGTAACTTGGTAACTTTCAATTACAACTTTATTTGGGTAATTAGTAGTTTAATTTAACTTATGTTTTGCAGGTAACTTCTAAACAAATTACTAGCTACTTTCGATTTAAATATAGTGCTAATTTTGATCATCCCAAAAGCTTGAGCACAGAAATGAATAAGACGCCGACAGATGAAGTGGGCATTCCCGAACAAGGGGCCCCCTCACATTCCGTTCCCACGCACTTATACTCGGCAGCCGTAGAAACTGCGTCACAGGGATCCTTGGGCCAAGGTGGCGACGAGCAGCCAAGACATAACAACGGCGCGCACCAAGGCAGGCAGAGATCCTTAACAAGCCTTGGTCAGGTAAGACCTAATCCGGTCATGCACTCAGGCACCGCCAGCTGCACTCGTGAAAGACGGGACACTCCGAGGGTTGTTGTTTTCATGTTTTCTGTCTTTAGTGAGTTCTGACTCAAGCGGTTTGTGGGTTCCTCGGGAGGCGCCACCGAAATGGCCTCGCAGCTGGGCGCCTTTTCCCATGGTCGCCTCGTCGTCAGTGTATACTACCTTGCAAAGACTGACTCACCGCGCACAAACGGAGACACGGATAATCCGTTCATGGGTGCACGTTCCAGCTTCCAGCTGCAACTGTACGAGCGACGATGCTTGTTCACGCAATGTGTCCTTCCGACTTTCCATGCCAGCGAGACCTCCTCTTTGTTGTAAACGATTTACTTCTCAGGCGTGTCAGGCGCGTCAGGATACCGTAGTCGCCGGCGAGGATTGCGAGTCATCCTTGGGAGATCCGTTTGTTGGACCCGGCATCAGCGGCGAAGTATGCTTCGTTTCAGCTTCTGTTAACCGCCCCCCCCCCCCCCCCAAAAAAAAAAAAAAAAAAATTCAGTAGCGTATTCCTAGCACTGCAACGAGGCGCACAGTCATTTGGATGATCTCATCGTCGTGGCGGGAGACTCAAACCCTTGACTGTCAGGTGCACTCGCTCAGCGTACTTTCAGAACGTCGAGGGAATAAAGAGAGGCAATTCATCACAATCTCAAGTTTCTGAAGAAGAAAGGAGAGTTTGTTATAAAAGACCCTCTAGGCCGAAGCAAACCTCACATGTTTCGTCATGGACACCGAAGATGCCGACCCGACCCTGCACAGCCTCTTTCTAAAATTCAACGCTATCGTTCCATCCAGCGCGTCGGTGGAACGTATCTTCAGCTTGACTGGGGGCATCTTTGGTAGGAAAGGCGGAGAACTCTCTAATAGGAACATTGAAAGTCAATTGCTTTTGCGAGCGAATCAACTATTTTGGTGAAAACGCAAGGCATAAAATGGCTGCATTTATTTTAGTCTCGTAGGGTTTTTCGCGGATCAAAAATGCTGCATATTTTGACCACAACAATATAAAAAAGTAACTTCAAAAACTTCAAAAGTAACTCGCAACTTTTCTTACAGTAGTGTGTAGTTTACTCAGTTACTATTACAGTTGATAGTCAGTAACTTAACTAACTTTTCTGAGTAATTTGTACATGTCTGCTCTGCAGGCAACTAAG